AGAAGAAAAGACCTCACAAACAAGATGTTCTAGTGAAAAGACCTCACAACCAACAACAACATGTTCTAGTTGAAAGTGACAATGAGTTGTACTCACCAAATCTACAATTTGCATTTCATAGCTGCGAGAACAAATTGGTCCGATGGAACTGCACTTTGCTTCGTTCTCTCTATTCTTCTCACAAGTCACCTACAACAATACGGTTACATTGCTAAGCACAAATGACATCAAACATGATGAAATTGGAAAAGTTGGATGATCTTACCATTTTTGCTCATTTTTCCAATGTTCCACAAGTTTATCCCATTGCTCATTAGTCATTGTGTCCACGGGGAGATGTTTTGGGCACGGATGTAGTGGCAAAGCATCAAAATACCTCTTTTTTAGCTTGTAGCGCTGGCGAAATGACTTTTTCAAGCATAGCCGCACATGCTTTTTTTCATAGGTAATGAATCGCATCCGTATGAAACTTTGACTGGTGACAGTAAACAACATTGCCAATTGTTATTGAATGCACAATCTTAATGTTGCAAATAAACAGTGGAAAGGGGCAAGTTTGAACACTTACAACAACTCTCGATATGTACGCGTCGATCATCTTAGGATACTTCTTGTATTCCTTCCAATGTGGAAATATTGGAACAATTTGTCTTATCGCAATGTTGCACTCGATTTGCAAATTTTGCGCGATCATCACCGAAGTTTGGTCTTCTCTTCCCTGGCTCAATAACCAAAGGAAGTCTCTTCTTCCTCGAGCGAGTCATCTGAACAAGTTCCCTCCCAATACTAGGTCCCCTCGTCCTGTTCTCCTCATCAAATAGGTCATCTACGAAGGAGTTGTGTTAGTATATCTTCTTTGTCCTATGTTGGGTATGGAATTACAATGTGCAAGACTTAGAAATACACACCTTCAAATGATGTTGGCAACCTGTGTTTGTCCATTTTCATTGACATCATTCATTGTGGCGCCATTTGGAGTGTGTCCATCCAGGTTCAAATTTCAAAGGCGTACATGTTGATCTCCACCCAGTGACCATTTTGCTCACCGCATCAGCTACAATGCAATATAGAGTTAGTAATAGTACTTTGGAATGTTGTCTCTAAATTTGAGTTCGATTTGTTACAATAATGTAGTCGATTAACCTTCCTCTGTAGCTCTGATTAGGGATTTCAAACTTGATTATTCATTGCATTAACATCATTTGGACGATTCTTCATTCCCCTTGTGACAACACTAGATTGCATCCCAGGTTGTTCCTTCTTAGCACCTGTCTTCCTCTTCTTTGTTGTTGTCTTTCTTCCGCAAAGAACCAATCAAACATACTGAGAATGGGAGATAAACATTAGATGCAATTAGCAAGCAAAGCACATATTAAGATTTGACACTATGGAATAACTAGCACCTTAGATGATAAAGTAGGAGGTTCCGGTCATCATCACTTAGATGGGCATCTTTGTTAGCCTCATCCTCACCATTGTACTCCGAACCGAGTCTTCTCCGTCCTCTGCCGCGTTTTTTCGGGGAAATAGTAGTGTTCTCACACAGTTGAGCTAACACAGAAGTCCTAGTTTACGCATGTATGCGTTGTTGCGCATACACTTTCTCATCCGAGGAGTAAATAAGGATTGATCGGAGCTTACGCAATGAGAAGGAACAAAGAGTGCAGATGTCGGCATGTTATAGTGAAAAGACCTCACTTGTAAACTAATTTATATTGTGAGGAGCATGCAGATTATCTTTCCTACCAGGACCCTCCATTACTAATCTCACACCGACAATTCCCAAACTTTTCAAGCACATCCACAATTCCACATAATAAACCAAGAGGAGAAAATACTAGTGAGGTAACCTAGCAAACATCCCTCCCTGATTTCCCCCAATTTTCGCTAATGTACAGAAAGAGTTTAGCCAGTGGTGAACCATTTCCTATATGTCCATCACCTGCCCCAATAATAGCACTCGACTCTACAGCAACAATGTACGCCACCGAAACACGGAGAAGAAGAGGAGGACAGCTCCATCTCATGGGGCACATGCGACCACATCCCCCTCCGCCAAAATTAGATCGCCCAAAATAGAAGGTGCAGGAGAGACATTCACCTTCAACATGCTCTCCCCGCCGTGGCCCCTTCGCTGGTTTCCTGCCCCTCTTCTTCGGCGACATCGGTGGTGCCTGCGGGATGGTGAAGGTCGCGCTCGACGCTCTCATCACCTTCACCATCGAGGCCGCGCTTGTAGGCTGCTGGACGGTGGAGCGGGATGGTGAAGCGGCGGTGGAGGAATCGGTGGATCTGGAGGCTGCGGGGTGGTGGAGCGAGGCTGATGGACGGCGGAGCTACGGGATGGTGGAGGCTGCAGGATGGATTGGGGGGATGGTGGCGGCGTTGGCTGGGCGAATTGGAGGATTTGGGGGGATTTGGTGGCGCCGTTGCCTGCGAGACGGCGGAGCCAGATTATATATGGCGCTGCAATATTACCAAAATATCCCCACCGTTTCATTTGCGGGATGCACGGATGGCGGGGCATAATGGTAAATTCGTAGCCAAATATTGGAGGTGGGAAGGCCGCTCGCCACTTAAATTTCGGTAGTATGCTGCGTAATTTTTCCAGTGGCTACTGCATTCAGGTGCCTCTTTTTTTCTTCTTCTTGTTATTTTTTCTTAGCTATCGAAATAATAAAATAGTGCGGATAATAACCAAATTTTGAATATTGTGGACCTACTTGTTTAGGTGATAACCAAAATTTGGATTACGATGTACTTACTTGTTTAGGGAATAACCAAAATTTTAAAGTTTAGCTATCAAATTGCTTAGGACATGTTAAGCCCAATAATCTATATTAGTCCGAAGGTGATCTATAATAGAACATGTTTTAAAGTTTAGCTGTCAAAAATTGTTTTGGTGGTGATTATATATAGTAAGTACCAAATAACTTCTACTAACCACAGAGGTTCTCTATGTATGTAGATCAATCAACACCATCGTACTATGTATGTATAGTACTCCTGGAACATACTCTACATCGATCACCCACATTTCTTGCTTAGTAATCGTTGTGGTAGTTGTTGACAATAGAGATGGCGACGATATCCCACCCATGATGAAACGAAGAAGAAAAACTTGATGTCGCTCAATCTCCCGATTTAGTCATATCATTTAGCGGAAAAAGCAGGGTTGGATGCCTATAAGTAGGGATGAAAACGGATCGGATACGAACGGATAACTAGTGTTTGATAAAACTTTCTCAAATGGGAAAATGAGCTATGTAACAATTGTATATCTTGCTGAGATGATCAAACTTGGTATTCAGAGTTTTCTCATCTGAGGTCATTTAGTGTCTCATTTGAGCAAGTTTGACCAAGTCAAATTTGGTCAAATGAAAAAACAACACTTTGACTCTAGTATTATAAACTCTAAATGACTTCAAATTGAAAAGTTTTGAATACCAAGTTTGTTCAACTCATCAAGATCTACAATTATTGTTTTGGTCAACTTTCCATTTGAGATAGTTTGGATGGTTCAAATTTGTGATTTTTAAATTTCGATGCTTACAAACTAGTTTTCGGAACCCTAGATTGTCTCAAATTGAAAAGTTTTGAATACCAAGTTTGTTCATCTCATCAAGATCTACAATCCTTATATAGGCTATTTTTTCATTTGAGAAAGTTTGAACAAAATGTAGTTCAAATTTCACAAGTGTGTGACATAGTTTCAGAAAGTCTATATGAGATTCAAGAATTTGTGACTAGTGTTTGATAAAACTTTCTCAAATGGGAAAATGAGCTATGTAACAATTGTATATCTTGCTGAGATGATCAAACTTGGGATTCGGAGTTTTTTCATCTGAGGTCATTTAGTGTCTCATTTGAGCAAGTTTGACCAAGTCAAATTTGGTCAAATGAAAAAACAACACTTTTGAGAAAGTTTGGACGGTTTAAATTTTGAAGCACTAAATGATTTCAAACGAAAAAGTTGTAAACAACAAAGTTTCATAACTTTTGAGATCTACAATTTTATTTTGATCATTTCTCCATCCAAGGTCGTTTGAATAATATCCGGATAATATCCGTTTTAAATATCCGGATATATCCGATACTTAACCGGATTATCCGATATCTGCCGGATATCGATGATATTACATCCGTATTTGATATCCGCCTAAGATATCCGTTTTAGTATCCGTATCCGAAAAAAATTACGGATATCCGAGTAACTATCCAGATAGGTGTTCATATTTGTTCGGTCGAACGGACGGTCGAATAAATATCCGTACCGTTTTCATCCATACCTATAAGACATAAGGCATTGTACAACAAAAAAAGAGATGGGAGATCACGCGTTGTTGAGTGAAGAAGCAACACAAGCTTTATGCAAGAGTATGACTTTCTTCAAAGAGGACATTTGTCATTCATGTTGGATGAAGAATCTATATTAACCTGTTGCCGTTCATGTCTAGTAATTGAATAAGATGTTTTACTTCGATAATCAACTCCATTTCAAAAGTTGATGGTTTCATAAGTGTTCGACTCAAACTTATCCCGCTTAGTGTGATTTGGTCTTGAGTACCAAATGATTTGTACCATTCCTAGAGGTTCATCTCTAGATAGGTACCTAGATCAATCGACTCAAGCGTGTTATGGTACACATGATGGTGATTTTGTGGTGACTACCCATTGATGTCTAGTAATGCTTCAAGAAACTACCTAGTAATCATATAAGATGTTCTACATCGATCAACTCCATTCCAATATATGATGAGTACATAAGAAGAATATATGACACGAAAGAAAAAATCTTGACAAGATTAGTTTTGAATTCCTCCGTAGACACGGTCTTCATAGACCAAAGGCATATAAGGAAAGGTCCACCGATCGGTCTTGGGAGCACACGCGAATAGAATTGGGAGCACTACCCAGTGCCCGCGGTCAAACAGATGCTACTGGAGAAGGCGTCCACCTTCAACCATTTAATATGTAGTTCGGACATGACAAATGCTAAACTACTCATCATCGCTATCAACCTCAACAGGGACAGCTTCTTCTTCACTCAAGTACTCCATCAGTGTGTCATCCTCTACCTCGTCACCCTCATCTTCACTAGTAGTCTTTGATTCATTTTCCTTTCTAAGTCGAGCAACCTCAGCAGCATCAACAAGAAGGCCAGCCTCATCAACTCTGTTCAAAGGCATGTCAGGCAAGATCTCAGAAACTTCTGGTCTTCTGCCAGTGTCCACAGCACATGTCTGCTCTTGATAGGGTGCAGCAGTGGATACGACACCATCTATTTCAGAAACATTGTACAAATGACGATGCTTAAATGTCTGGACAATCCGCCAATTTGTTCCATTCTTAATATCTGGCAAATAAAAAACCTGTGTAGCTTGAGTTGCCAAAATAAAACAGTCTTTCTTGTACCACAGGCTGCCAATATTGATGCTTTTACAAAACCCATCATCCCTTACTGCAGTATGCTTACCATCCAATTTGTACCAGTCACATCTAAAAAGAACAACAGTTCTTTTTGTACCACCACCCTTGGCGTGGTACTCTAACTCAATAATCTCTTTCAATGTACCATAAAAATCAATCATCTCACTTCTGTATGAGCTTGCACAGGCCACCCCGGAGTTTTGTGTCTTCTTGTTTTTGTCACGCTCGACGGTGCAGTACCGCACACCATTGACAACACATGTGGAGTATGATCTAACTCTAAGGTCAGGGCCACAAGCTAGGGCAAATATATCATCATCTACCTCTTCTGATGCATTCAACCTCCACATCTGCAAAAAGGAATGTCTCAGCGTCAAAATAGTTATCTACAAGATAACTAATAATTTAAGATAAGAATAAGATAGATACTAACATAATTCCTGAACCAACTCGCAAATCCATGCTCTGTCCTTCTTCCAAGGTCTGCAGCCTGCACCCCTACTTCTGTCAATTCATCTTCAAACTTTCTGTAACTCAAATATATAAAAAAACAGTAAGTTGCTAATCTGAAAATAATTAAGAAACAAATGTAATATACAAAATAGAGAATATTTTAGAACATACTTTATGTACTTCTCAGCCTGATCACAATTATGGAGAACATACCAAGCCAACTTATCAAGTTCCTCGGAGTATGAAAGATCAAATGCACCAATAAGATTAACACCATGCCCAAAAACATCAACAGTATAGGCTGATTGATCTGAAAATCCAACATTTCTTAGGAGTCGATTAAACCTTGTCTCTACATCATCCATATATCTCGAGCAAAATGTGAGGGCTTCATTTGCCACATAAGCCTCTGCAATTGAGCCTTCTGGGCGTGCCTTGTTCCTAACTGACCTTTTCAATGTATACAAGCGCCGTTCAATGGGGTACATCCACCCAAACTGCACAGGTCCACGGACCATGGCCTCATCAGGCAAGTGGACAGCAAGGTGAACCATGACATCAAAAAAAGCAGGGGGGAAGATTTTCTCAAGCTTGCACAATATGACTGGTATTTCAGTCTTCATTCGAGCCAAGATATCTTTGTTCAGTTTTTGGCTGCACAATTCCCTAAAAAATTTGCCGAACTCAGCAAGTGTTTGATATATATCATCATCCAACAGCCCTCTCAGCCCAGCTGGTATAATCCTTTGCAACAGAATGTGGCAGTCATGAGTTTTCAGGCCTTGCCACTTGATTGAGTCAGGATTTAAGCATCTTTGTATATTTGAAGCATATCCATCTGGAAACTTGGCCTCCTGCAAGAAATTACAAAATTGAGTCTTCTTTGACTTGGACAACGTATATCGAGCTTTGGGCATGTCATATGAATCTCCACTATCCTGTAATTGCAACTCGTTTCTAATTTCCAAATCAGCCAGATCGAGCCTTGCATTAACTGTGTCCTTTGACTTCCCTTTTATGTCCAGAATGGTACCAAGGAGGCTTTCACACACATTTTTTTCAATATGCATGACATCCAGATTGTGTCTAAGCTTTAGAGTTGGCCAATATGGTAAGTCCCACAAACAATTCCTTCTGCCCCAAATTGGCACACGATTGCCTGAACGTTTCCTTTTCTGTCCTACTCTGACATCACTAACCTTTTCCAATTCTTCTAGCAGCTCTTCTGTGGTGAAACTAGTTGGCTTCGCACTGCTATCATGGAGGGATGCAAATTCATTGGCCCTGCGCAAACGATGACCACTCGGAAGGAAACGACAGTGCCCAATATAACATAGCTTGCTCCTTATGGCATATGACAGAGGATTTTTGTCACAATGGAGACAAGCAAAATAACCACTTGTGGTACGGCCTGATAGGGTACTTAGTGCTGGATAATCATGAATGCACCACAACACTGCAGCACGAAGCTTAAAATCTTTTCCGGTGATAGCATCAAGAGTATCCACACCCTTCCATAGCTCAAGTAATTCTTCTACAAGAGGCTGCAAGAAAACATCAAGGGCCTTCCCCGGTGAACGAGGACCAGGAATCAACAAAGCCATCATGAAATTAGATTCATCCATGCATGCCCAAGGTGGTAAGTTGTATGGAATCACAAAAACAGGCCACATGCTATAAGATGAACTCATGTTGCTAAAAGGGTTGAAACCATCTGTGGCAAGTCCAAGTCTTATGTTCCGTGCATCTTTAGCAAAATCAGGCCAGCGGTTGTCAAAATCTTCCCATGCCTTTCCATCTGCAGGATGGGTCATTTCCTTCTCATTGTGTTTCCTCTTCAACTTATGCCACTGTGCTTCCTCCGATCTTTTCTTCGAAACAAACATCCTTTGCAGCCTGGGGACCAATGGAAAATGCCGCAATACTTTTGCTGGAACCTTCTTTCTCTCATGATCTTTCCATCTTGATGCCCCACAAACTGGACAACTATCCTTTTTTTTATTTTCCTTTCTAAATAGCACACAATTGTTGGGGCACACATGAATTGATTCATAACCAAGTCCTAACTCACGTAGCATTTTCTTTGCTTCGTCATATGATTTTGGAATAGTATTGAACTGTGGGAAAGCTTCTGACAAGATCTTCATAATTGCAGAAAATGCTGAGTTAGTGATCCTATAGTATGACTTCACATGGAGCATCTTGATTACAAATGTGAACCTTGTAAAATTCATACAACCAGGATATAGCTCACGCTTAGCATCTTCAATCAACTGTTTGAAATGTGATGCAGCACCCTCATTTCCATCTTCAGGTCTAGCCTCATTTCTATGTTGTTCAGACCTGACGAAGTCCCCTAACATCTCTTCAAGTCCACAACCATCATTGGTGTGCTCAGGTACATAAGAATCAACATTTGCATCCTCAACTACTTCTAGTTCCTCCAAAACATGAATATTTCTGTCCTCTCCATGATCTATCCACCTGGTATATGTGCTGGACATGCCATTGAGCAGTAGGTGCCTCTCCACTTCATTTTGCTCTAAAGATTTATAGTTCAGACAGCTTTCACATGGGCACAAAATCTTCTCAGACTCAGAGAACCTCTCTTTGACAAAGTTCATGAAAGACCGGACACCACAAATATACTGAGGGGTAAACAGAGCACCATGAATCCAACGTCTATCCATCTACATAAAAAATTGCAGAAAATAAATAGATCAATCTAACCTAGAATTGCAGCCACTTCATCAACTAACAAAGTACAACACTAATTTAAACTGCGTATCTAAATCCGTACCAATCGAAATCAGTTGAGGCAAGATCTCTGGAGGTGGGCGGCGATGGATCCCCTGCAGGGGGGCTTGACGGAGCCGCTGCCGTGGCTGCTTCTCGGTATCGCCTTCACCGCGGCCACCGCGACACCGCTGACAGCAACCGGGACGACCGGCGTGGATAGGGGCAGCCGGCGCGGACAGGGACCACAAGGCTGGCACTGACAGCGGCGGCTGGCGAGGACAGGGGCAGCCCGCGCGGAGAGGGATGGCCGGCGAGGACAGGGGCGGCGGGTGGTGCGCGCCCGGTGGCCGGCGTGGATAGGGGTGACGCGCACCCGGCGGCCGGCGAGGACAGGGTCGTGGTCTGGACACGGTCGCGTGGTCTGGAGACCTGGACACGGTCTCTAATTTGTTTCAGAACTATCCTAATTTGTTTGCCACCGGCCAAAAGAATAAACATATCACTAGTATACACACATGAATCAGTATCCATGTGGTTAGGTCCTGCTGTTGTGATCGACAGGTCCAAGGTTCAATTCCTAGCAGCGGCATTTTTTTTTCACATTTACCTTCCTCCCACCTTCCCTATTTACATCTCTCACCGACAGGTAGGTCCCACCATCCCCCCTGCCATTCAGCATGACATGTAGGAACGATGTGGACGCTCACATCACAATGACATGTTGGATGTTGTATCTGTGACCTTCCAATAAATCCGTCATGGATGACTAAAATGATCCGTGACGTCCAGTTATGACGATAATTTAACCAATCGTCATACATCTATCACCTTGGATTTGGACCGTCACAGATGACTATATTCTGTGATGATTTCTTAGAAGGTCACAATTAAACCGTCACGTAAAGCCAAATTTCTTGTAGTGAAGTTGAAAAGCGCCAAAAATTCCAGCAGAGGAGGGAATCACAATGGCGCCAATGATCAGAAATTTTCGTTTTGTAAACAGCGACCCTGGAGCTATAAATCCCCCCCTCCCCATCGCTATCTCACCAGTCTCCCGCTCGAGCTCGACATCTCTAATGGTTGGTCGCCGCTCCAGGTGGATCAACTAGGATGCCCTCGGCGACGAGGCGGAGGAGGATGCTGCCGAGTTGAACTACGACTACGAGTGGCTTAAACTAGGTTTTCCCACTTTGATTCATCGTCCCTGCAATCGATTCTTCATTCGTTTCGTGATCTGTGCATAATTCGGATTTGCTATCTTGACAGAGGTAGAAGTGACAGAGTCGTATGGCAACGGTGGAGAAGAAGGGGACAGCCACGCCGGACTAGGTGGTCACGGCGACGCGGGACAAGCAGGTCACGGACACGGCCATGTCCTTGACGTCCGCGAAGGACTCGGTGGCCCGCTGCTCGGTGGTCGCCATGGTCTTGCGCACCGGGTGTGGTCCATCGTCAGCAGCACCATGGTCGGCGCTCATGGCGTCGGCGCCAGCAAGGAGGACGCACTGCAGTTACGTGGGCGAGCTCGCCTGGGACTAACAGGTCGCATCCGTGGGCGTGCACCTGTGACACGATGGCCTCCTCATCTTCCTAAATCTAAGGGATTGGTTGGGGCATGTGCTATGTACGGTGGGAAGATTTCTAAACTAATCGGCGTGGGAGCTGATACGTACGTATATTTTGGAATTTTCTTTAGAAATTTATATGGCTTATATTAAAGAGCGGAGGGAGTAGAAGTTAAATACAGTTGGCGCCGGTTTTATTTTATTGTATAAATGTTAGTCTTTTCTCTCCGGTTTTCTTTGAGCCGAGTGCCGTGTGCCGTGTGCCGCCCGTGCTCATGCATGCTTTGCAAGCGTCCAGTGTGCACTGAAACTCACATGCCAGTGCACTCCGCGTCGTCCGAGGTAGCTAGGGACAAATTTCTCCGCAACGTCGTCTTGCCTGTCAGGCTGTCACCAAAACATGTACGCACTACTACTACGTAATTAACTACGTTTCTGAATCATAGTACATGGATAACCCTTGATCCAGGTAACAAGCTATTACCGGGTGCAAACGGCGAACAGCACTAATAAAATATTAAAGGACATGTTTCTAGAATCCTACAACTGTGTCTTCTGTTTGGAAGGAGTAGAAGAAACTAGGGATCATCTATTCCTCAAGTGTAACTTTGCAAAGGACTGCTGGAACTTGCTTGGACTAAACCTTCCAGTGCAGTGCTCCTTCCCAGAGGTGATTTTTACTGATGAAGACACATCTCCACTCGGCTTCTTCCTTAATGCAGTAATTCTCATGTGTTGGACGGTTTTGGGGTGCGAGAAATGACATTATCTTCAATGGAAGGCATCGAAGTATCAACGATTGCTTCCACGTATTTATAACATTGTCCTTACTTATGAGCAAGATAAATTTCACTACGTCAAATATCATTTCTAGGGGCGGCTACAGTGCATTTGTAGGGGCGGTTCGGCCAGCCGACCCTACACAAGGGTCTCTACAAATCATGCATTTGTAGGGGCGGTTCCCAGACTGCCCCTACAAATCATTTTTCTACAAAAAAAAATTAAATTTACAATTCAAATTGGATCAGAACATATATTTTTCCTTTTTGATATCATAGTGCTTAGCATACAGTTGGTATGATATTCTAGGAAGTATCACAATATAAACTTTGGTGATATTCATGGATTATAGAACAAGTGAACACACAATAAATTTACAGAACAAGTGAACACACAATATAAACTTTGATGTTATAATTAAGACTTCGTAGGAACATATGTAATCCCCGGCTCCTATACTTCTTTGTTGTTGTTGTTTCTTTGTGGTGGTGGAGCTTGAAACCTTTGTGGTTGCCGCTCAAACTCTTGTTGTTGAAGTGCTATAGCTAGCTCCAGATCGAGGCTGCAAGCATATAGGAGGCCAATGTGGTAGCGTTAGAATTTAGATAACACATGCAAAGTGACTCAGAGTGCACATCTATGATGATTCAAAGACGTTGAGCACATTCAAAATCACAAGAAGGCATATATTGGTCATTCAAGTACATGCTAAGCCGTGAGTCCAATACACAATGACAGAAAAACCATCAAATAATCGAAGTTCAAGAAAGTTATTGCGCTTGGTTAACAACAACAATCAACATATCAGAAAAGAAACTATAGCTTCAACTAGCATATCATTTATAGCCCTCTTGACAGACATTTTCTCGCACAGTACCATTCATACAAGATTCACATGGTTGCTGAAATCCAAACTATGAATGTTGTACACACACAACAATAAAGCACATTGAGAAAACAGGTAGGAAGAACATACTTTCCAAGAAGTGTTGTCAAATTGAGCAAGGTAATCTGTGAACAAAGATAAATTTGAACTAGTTAACATTAATGTACCTAATAAAAACTACAGCAGTTTATTTATGTTATACATACAAAGAAGATTACTCGTCATAGCTTGCTGTTCATTCCATGAATCATTTCTTGGAGTTTGACCTTAAAAGGTGTGAAGTTGTTGGTAAGAAAAACCCCATCTCCATTCACCTAATGATTGTCGGTTGAGAATGAAAAAGATCGGTAAAGATTTTGATCTCAAGCGAGAATTAAAATAATCACAGGAGTTAACATACCTCATCCAACCTTTGCCATACCAAATCGGTTTGGCCTATAAAACCTTGATCGTTGCTAGGAGATATAGACTTCCGTTGTAATTTGCAGAATAAATATACATAAGAAATAAAGATGACTCCAGTTCAAGTACTCAAATTACGGAAGAAGACACAAAGCTCACTTTCGTTAAGTCCCTCTTGTAAATGTAAGAGATCTGCGACAATGAAATTTGACAATGTGATAAATGAGAATACAATTGAGAACATGTATTTAAACCATAGATTATTAGAAATATACCCTAGACAAATCAATTTGGTTAGCAAGTGGTCTGCAGAAAATTATCAATCAGCTCCCCGAAAATAAATCAATTTAAGTGTGAAGCCAAATATAGTAATTCTTGTATTGTACAAAGAGATTCACGCATGTACAAAAGTCAATAAAAAAAAAATCTCACATTGATGTTCGTGGCCTTGTCATCCACGGAAGGGTCGCTTTCCCAGTCTTGTTAGCTTTGCTTTCAAAGAAGAACCACCTCCCCTCATACACTCGGGCTCTTGATTTTTCATACACCATATTTGTGGTGCCAAGTACGTGCTCTTCACCTTGGTATATTGGTTCACATTCATGAATGCTTGAAGGCAGAGGCTCGATTTATCTAAAAATCACTTTTCACATCCGATTACTGTTGTAGCATGACTGGAGCAGCTCCACAAGTTGCAAACCGATCATAACTTGACAAATAACTATCAAAGCAAACAACTTGTGTTTCATCTAGTTTGATAAGTAATCGACACTTACAAGTAAACAAGCAATCTAAGCAAGAACAAGTAATCCCATCTCGAGAAAAAGGGCAAACAAAACAATTGGTATGGTGCGAGCTACTACTAGGCAAGAACAAGAACATGCCGAGTTGCTCATCACTTGGGGTCATGGATCTTAAAAAATAAATTCGGGACATTAAATTGATTTGAATCCCCAAAACTTACGGAAAACAAACGCGCATCGGCAGACTTGGCTAGATCGATCTTGCCTAGCGCCCATGGCGTAAAGCGAAGAAGCTAGAAGAGGTACGGTGGAGAGATTAAGAGCTAGCAGCAAAGACTCTCCGCACTTCAAGACCAGTAGCAAACAAATCCAAAGGGAGACAGATTTGGATCTCGATTTGACCGCCACGGCAAAGAAATGCCCCCAAGAACAACTCGAGCTCCTAGATTGAATCAACGGAACAAGGAAGCTAGGTTCACTTACCACCAGTAGAGGAGAAGAAATGGATCCGAGTCCGGGCGCCTGAGAGGATTAGGGTTCCGATGGGGAGGCGCCTGAGTTGCGTCACGTGAGAAGGGGATGGGGAGGAGGAGATACCGGATCTACCGGGTATGGTTCAAGCAATCAACGATTTACCTCGAGAAAGAAGCAGATCTGCAGCAGGCGACAAGACACGGGCGGGGGCGGTGGCGATGATTGGCCTTGAGAGAGCGCGGCTCGGCTCAGATCCGGGACCCTCCTGTCTCTTCCCCGCTCCCCGCCTCGCTCTCTCTCCTCCGGCCGGAAGAGTTGACCTCGCTTCGATTCTTTGTGGAAGCGGAGGTGGGGAGGAAGCGGTCCACAGCGAGGACGGGAGGAGGCGGGTCAGGGAGGAGGCTAGCGACTCGGGCAAAGAGGGAGGAGCCGAGTAAGGAAATGGTGCGATGGGGGGAGGAGGAGGTGGAGAAAGGTGGCCTTGCCGCCCTGGCTTCAGCCAAGCAGCCGCCGCCGCCCTGTCCGCGTCGAGGGAGAGAGTGAGCGAAGAGGAGAGAGAGAGAGAGAGAGAGAGAGAGAGAGAGAGAGAGGAGGGTGAGAGAATTTTCTGGCCAATATATACATCGGCATTTGTAGGGGCGGTTGGTGATTCAGCCGCCCCTATAAATAGAAACGTCGGGGGCGGTTGGTGAGTGAGCCGCCCCTACAAATCAGACCCATTTGTAGGGGCGGCCCGTATCACCAGCCGCCCCTGTTGTTCCATCTGTAGGGGCGGCTGGTGTCTGGGCTCCCAAACACGCCACTGTAGGGGCGGCTCCATCACCAGCCACCCCTACAAAAAAATCATACCGTTGCTAAAAATCGTTTTTTACGTAGTGTTTCCCTAAAACTTAATCAAATATGGACAGTTCTCGGTTAAATATCTTTATCTTGCTATGATGTCCCAAACATTAACAAGCGGCTATGAAAATTGATGTCACCTTTAAAAATTAAAATCTTCCTTTAGTACTTACAGGGTGTAATAATAACAAAGGATAATTAAGTTAGCTAAGCACAATTGGCGATGTAGTAAGACATGTTGCTTTATGTGACAAGGATGAGATGATTAAACGTCTACTTTTTGAATGTCAATTTGCAAAAATAGTTTGTTCTATTATACAGTTGGCGCCATCAGGACTTTCTCAACCCCATAGTGTACCACATATGTTTGGTAGTTGGTTACGGGGAATTGGAACGTACCTGAGAACACTACTCCTGCTAGGAGCAACGACAACAGGTTGGTCTTTATGGCTCTGTCGAAATGACATGGTCTTTGATAAAAAAAAAGCAATGTTCCTTCGCAGGTTATCTACTTGATTATCCACTAGCTTCGTACTTGGGTTATTTTCTCAGAAGCTGTATTCACGGGATTTGGTCATAGTGGCATGGCAACAGGTGGAGTGTCTGATCAAGGAAGTTTTTACTCAGGCACATGGGTGGCGCTCTAGTCTTCGGATTGTTAGTCACGAGAGTGTTTGTATCTGTTGAGAAAATAACTTTTTATAGGCCTTGTGTTTTAATGCAGAGGTCGAAAATGATATCAAGGTGGTTGTATCAACTCGATGTAATTATATTGAGTTAATAAAATG